GCGGCGCGCGGCCTCCGGGGCGCCTTGCTCCGGGCCCGGTGACCGGCTGCACCCGCCGCGGCCCTCGCGTTGGACCCGCGGCCTCCGCGCTGTCACGCCGTGTCACTCGCCCAGCCCCGGCCGGCTGGAAACCCGCTTCCTGAGCTCACTTTCCCGGCTGCCGCGTCGGGTTCTCTGAACTCTGACCCTCTCCGGCACGGGGACCAGCAGGAGGGGGCGGCAACCTTACTCCTCGGCGGGCGCGCGTCCCGCCGGCGTCCCCGGAGCGACCCAGCCGCGTTCCCTTGGGCCACCCGTGGGTGACGGGCCCTGTTCGCTGTCCCGGAGCGCGAGCTGCAAAAACTTCTCTCCGCAGTTGCCTTGCCACCCAGAGACGTGAGGAAAGAAGGGAAGGAGCGCCCTGAGCCTCTGTGGGCATGGGATCACCCTGGAATCCGGAGAAACCAGGTTAGGGCTGCTCCTTCGCTGCCCTGGCTCTGCTGTAAACGTCTTAGGAAATACAGGCTGGGGACAGGTACCCACCCTTCCTTTGCCAGCAGTTCCCCAGGTTTTCTGTCAGGGGTCTGTGGAGACTCAGCTCGCCCAGCGGACTCAGCAAAAAGAAAATTCGCATCGAGGGATCTTCTACTGGAGGAGAGGAGAAATGGGGGTTTGAGACAGGTGTCCCCATATTTAGCTAGAAGTAAAGGTTTGGGAGAGGATTTTCCAAGAAGCTGGAGAAAAATTAAGACTACAGAAGTTGATTTCTTATGTGTAAAAAGTGAAGAGAATGCATAGACTGGAATTCAGAACACAAGCCCCAAGTTTCATTTTATTTTTTTCTTGGAAATTTTCGGTTTTCATGAGAAATCTCCACAAAGAGAAAATCATACCAGGACGCTCCCATGAGACCTGAGGCTCTCTGGACCTCTCAGATGACAGCGGGAATTTGTTCTTCCTATACATTGGGCTTAGGGTTCTCACTCATTCCTTTTATTGAGAAAAAATGGGCAAGAAGATGACCACATTGACATCTGTCATTGCCTGTGCTGTCTTCTGAGATCTTAAAAATGTTACTGAATGGGAATGTTTGAACCAAGATTTTTTATCAGGGTTCTAGCCCGTTCTTGGAAGCTTTTTACCAGCTTTTCTACTGGGGTAATGAATAAAAATCACAAAGCAGAAGAAAGGGATTCTTCAGTCTTATTTCTTGACTAGGACTGATCCTGTTCTTAAGATGTCTGATGCAAAGAAGGTCCCACAATCTGGTCTTATTCAATGTAGTATTCAGAATTTTATTTTATTTATTTATGTATTTATTTATTTATTTGCAGTACCAGGGATTGAAGGCAGGATCTTGCATTTGCCAGGCAAGCACTTATGCTACTGAGCTATCTCCTCAGCCCCCAGAATTTTAAAAGTCTAACCTGAATGTCTTCTCTTACAATGAAGACCTACTCCTTAATCTATACAGAGATAGAGAACACCTCTTTTTATTCATTGATATTTCCTTTCATCAACCTTTTATTTCTTTGATGGGGACTGAACCCAGGGCCTTTGCATTGAGATAGATTCTCAACCCTATTTTTTTTTCTTGAAACAGGGTCTTGTTAAATCACTGAATTGCCCCATTTGGGCTTGAACTTGCAATCTTCCTGCGTCAACCCCCCTTTCTTGACCTTAATTTCTTCCAATGAGTACACGCTGGCTTCTCCATATTCCTCTTTAAAAATTAAATGTTTTGGGGGCGGGGAGATGGTTCAGTGGAATAAGCGCTTCCCTGGCAAGCACAAGGGCCTGAGTTCAATCCCTGGTTCTGAAAAAAAAAAAAAAAAAAAAAAAAATGTTTTCTACAGAGCTAGGACTAGTGCTTGCCACATAAACAGCTTCATTCTTATATTTCAAATCACAGGGCTGTCATTTCACCTTAGGTTCATATGAGCAGCCCCAATCCAATTGGTTCTGTTGTATTTTACTTTTCCCAATTAAACTTTGCTGACCAACAATTTTTCTTTATTTTGTAGGATTCTGTCGGAGTCTTGCACTTGCTTTCCACGCTGCTGGCCTATCATATTTACTACATGAGAGTGGCAGATCATGTGCTTATTTGTTGAAGCTTATCCTAAGTGAAATACCTCTTGGTTCAGCCTCATAAAGAGGTGTGTGCTCATGGTGCGTATCTATGCCCTGGGCTGGGCCTCCTGCCCTGGGAGTCATGTCACCCTAAACTTGTTGATAGGACTGTCCTAGTTACTTTGTTGAGACAGCATAGCCCACACTCAAGGTGAAAAGGGGGTAAAGTTTGCTGTTGTTTACTCACAGTTTATAGAGGGTTCAGTCTAGTCAGCCGGCTCCACAGTAGGATGGCTTGGCAGAGGGCAGTCATGGCAAGCAGAAAGAAAGGAGCAAAGCAGCAAGCGGGGCAAGACAAGACCCTGTCCCTTATGTGTTGTGTCTGCACTGTGGGTTCGTGCAGTGCCCACCACTCAGGCTGATTTAGCACTCACACTGCTGTCGTCCCAGCATTGCACACTAGATTCAGCCACCTAAGACTGCATGAGGCTTTGGGGAACATCTAGACACAAACCATAACAGGTGTGATTTCTGGCAGAAAGTCTTAGATATGACTGTGTCCAACTGTGTTGACTGCAGGTCTGTGTGTGCTTCTTCCTACATATTTCCAGATTGCCTGTGCTCCTTTACTTCTAATGGCTGAAGCAAAATAGATAGCTTATGAATTTCCAGGATTATTCTTTTTTTCATATGATGTTCTTGTAGTCCTCAGGAATATTCTGTTGATACCCTGAGGTCTTCTAATAAGCAATTGGCAGTGCTGTGGGGCACATGCCAATTTTGTAGTTCCTCCAAGAAGCTTGACGCAGGCTTGGTTAAGTGGAAAACACCAAGATATTAAATTCCATTTTATATTAACTTCCTCTTATCCAGTTTCATGTTCAATCCCTGGGGATGATCTCCAGGGCCGGGGAGATGGCTCAATGGAATAAGCACTTCCCTGGCAAGTGCAAGGGCCTGAGTTCAATCCCCGGTTCCGCAAAAAGTTCTGGCCTTCCTGGGGATAATCTCCATAATGTCCTTATTATCACCTGATTCAGTGTTCGTAGGCATAGCTGATACTGATTTGTTCCAGGTCACAAAGTGGGCTTTCAGGAGAAAATGCTTTCAAAACAGACAGCAGCCCTGGGGACAGGATGGGAATCAATGAATGTACAACTGGATGGGACAGAGCCTCAGGTGGAAAGGGGAAGCCAGGAAGAAGGGCCATGGAACACAGCACCTGGCCCGTGGCCATTGGAGCACGTGTGCTACAGCCTTGAAGAGGAGCCACAGTCCCTCCAGAAGGGTGAGAGCCAACAGAGTGAAAGGGAGGCAGAATATGTAGAGCAGTGTCCTTATTTCTGTTTGAAAAATAGAATTAAAAATTTCCACATCACCATGGTCTGAACAGCATACCCAGTGTCAGAACCAGTCCAGTCATCCTTCCTGGACTTGTGCAGAATGAGTCCTGGATTACTTAAGCCATCTAACTGTGCTTCTCTTGTTTTTGCATAATCACTCCGTCTTAGTGCCCCTGCATAATTAGTGGCTAATGAATGTGAGAGATGAAGAAGTGGCAGTGACGCTGATCACTGCTAGAGAGTATACCTGGTAAGATGCACTTTACTAGGGAAAGTTACATTCAAGGGATAGGAATTCAAGCTGCCGCTAGTGTAACTGGAACCTAACCAGTGCTGTTACAATAAAACATTTTGAGTAAAGGACTCTTCACCTACATTTGTGTATTTCAATTTTACCAATGGGCATAGACACAGGCAAAGATGAGCCCCTAAGCTCCCTTATGATGGGCCCCGGTGCTTGTGAAGAGGCGGGCCAGTCATCTCTAATGGTTCCTCTCTCCCCTCACCAGCTCAGTCTGCTCCCTGGGTTCCTGCAATTCCCCAGGAGGGGAGCGCCGGAGACTGGGAGATGGCAGCTGCACTTCTTGCAGCCGGATCACAGGTGGGCTGTGCTTCCCCCTGCCTCTCCCAAGGGCTCATCACAGTTGCCTTTTTAGAGCTTTGGCATCATCCCATTGATAGTTCTCATGAACACTAATGGTATGCTTGTCTTCTAACTAAACAAATTCTGTCCTTTGCCAAGAGGTCCATAAGACCCTTGGAAAATCCAATGAAGGCATAACCAAAAATGAGAATTCTTTGAGGTTAAGGTTTTTTAAAGGATGGCTGTGTTATATGCAGGGGGGGGGGGGGGGGGGTTAAGAACAATTAATTAGCTTCCTTTAAGAAATAAATGTGGGGCCAGCCAGATAGCAGCGGGGCTAGCCTAGCTCAGCCAATTAAAGTGCCTGCTTAGGCAGACACAGGGACCAGGGCTCAATCCCCAGCATGCTGTGCTGGCCTTGCCCCTGGAGCATGCTGAGAGGGCAATTGAGACTGGGCATGGTGGCACACGTGTAATCCCAGCACTTGGGAGGCTGAAAACAGGAGGATCACTATGAGTCCAATCTACGTAGTGAGACCCTGTACTAAATACAAAAAAAAGAAAAAGAAATGTGGTTGGACTGGGGATCCAGCTCAGTGGTAGAACACTTGACTAGCATGTACAAGGCCCTGGGTTCAATCCTCAGTGAGAGACAGAGATAGACAGAGACACAGAGAGAGGGAGAGGAGAGGAATCTTGAAAGACTAGGAAGTGAACATGATTGAGTAGACAATGGAGCATCTAGGGAAATGAAGGAGAGAAAGACATAACCAAGGGCAGAGCCCAAGAAGTAAAATAGGTCTACATTTAGAAGGCATCATAGAAGCTATTAAAAGATAATAGCAGCAGTGCTAGCAGCCATCCTCCCGTACCACATGAGCTGTTTTTCCAGCACTTTCGGGATCTTAACTAATTTAATTCTATAAACAGTCCTATTTTACAAATAAGAAAAATGAAACATTTAGAGATTAAGACCTTTGTATAAGGTTATATTGATATGAGTGACAAAACTAAGAGTTACTTGGCTCCAAATTCCAACCTGTTCTCCTTGAAGTGAGAAAGATACAGTATGACAGGTGAAGCAGGAAAGAATATCTTGTTTATATCATATTTTATTGAAAGAAAAGGAAGTCACTTAGACGTACAGAATTTCTGCAATTAAAAGTGTAAGGCAAGCAAGGAGACTGACGAATTCATGGCACCTCCATCTTCTAGCCCCACCAGTAACCTTCATGGTTCCATTGCCCTCACTGCTTGAGCATCTACTTTTAGCCCTTTCCCTTTACTTTCACCACAGCTGTGTCCCCTCCCCAGCGAGCTCTGAGCAGTTCTTCTCATAGGTCCTCTCTTGCCCTCTCTGCTCTACTACTGTGGCCTTTTTTATCTTCATGGCAAGATCACCTTTTGCTTAAGGAGCAATTGCTGACAGATGATTCTGTATTTTGTTTCAGGGCCTGGTAACCATCAAGGATGTGTCACTGTGCTTCTCTCAGGAAGAGTGGCGGAGCCTGGACCCCTCTCAGACAGACTTTTATGGAGAATATGTCATGCAGGAAAATTGTGGAATCGTGGTCTCTCTGAGTAAGTACTACATGACCTTCCTAGCTATTAAAAAATTGCACCCTGGGAAGATAGAGTCATCTGCTGTGGGGTGGTGGGGAGTGTCTGTCTAGGGGTCTGTTCTTGGCAGGAAGCTGTTTAAACTTTTGCCAAAGAAAAAGCTCTAGAATTAATCCCAAGAGAATGAGTGATGAAGGAGCATTTTAAGAAGACAACAGCAAGTAATGATGAATTCAGGAGCAAAAACCTGGATGCTATTCTTGGTTGGGAATTGGGAAGCTCTTACAAAGCCAAGGAGGGGAACATCTGGAACTGGGCCCTTGGAAATTTGGGAACTACCTAGTGGAAAATGAGAGTATAAATAACATAGTTGTAGAAGACTGAAATAGAGTTGTGACTGGGAAGGAGAGTTGGGCTGGAAGGAGTTGATGGAGAAGGATAGACTGATAGGGAAAGAGTGTGATTTTCTAGACCTAAGAAATAGGACTTAACATATATGGCAGAGTGTTGGAGAAGGGGCATGAATACGGCTGCCTTTCTCCTCAAGTCCCAAAGAATAATCTACTAAATGGCTTTTCACACAAAGTAGACCTACTGCCAGCTAACACATACCTGCTTTCCTTTCCCATCGCAGGATTTCCAATTCCCAAACTGGACATGCTTTCTCAAGTAGGAGGAGGAGAAGAACAGTGGGTCCCTGATTCCCAGGACTTCGAGGAGAGAGACATCCTGAGGGTCACGTATACAGGTGAGAGCCCAGGATGGAGTTTTAGCCGCTGCCTTATCCATTCATGGGGTGTCATCATTGCATGTGCCTTAATGGAAAGGCTTAGAGATTTTTTTTTTTTCTTCAAAAGCAAGGCAGTAGCAGAAGGATTATTTAGAGGGCAGACTGGAGACAAGTTTTGTGAATTTGAATTCAAGAGTCACAACTGTGAGATCTCAGAAGAGTCGTTAACTTCTTTTTGGTTTCCTCATCTGTAAGTAATTGTAAGAATTAAATGTGTTACCATCTTAGAAGGTGGAGCAGTGCTAAGCACGCAGTACTCAGTAAATGTGATTGTTGCAATATTTCAACTTTCCCCTCACTTTTTGAATGCTTTTCAAAATTCCTGTACTATTGCTGATAGGTTGCCATCCAGCCAATGATGATTAAAGTGCATTTCTGTACTCTCTCTGTCTGTGCGTAGGTGGGAAGGCGGTGATTAGTAGTGCTGAGTACTAGTATGTAGGTAATGTGAATAAATAGCAGCATACTCCACTTATTAAGTAAATATGTGTAGATACTGTACTAAAACAGAGATGGAGACAGCATCAGAGGTTTTATCACTATTTGAAAAGAAATTGGGGCTTGGAGAAGTTCAGTGGAATAGCTGAAATTAAAGCTTGCCTAGGGGCTGGGGAGATAGCTCAGCTATCTAAGTGCCTGCTGGCAAGCACAAGGACCCAGGTTCAATGCCCAGTACTGCGTGCTGTGCTGCTGCCGAGTATGGTGACACACACCTATAATCCCAGCGCTGGGGAGTCTGAGACAGGAGGATCACTCTGAGTCCAAGCTGCATAGCAAGACTCTGTACCAAATACATACATACATACATACATATGTAAATGATTTTAAAAAACGAAAATTTGTCTAATCTGCCTCTTGAGCATGAGCTTTAAAAAACCTCTATGCCTTTTTCACCATCTTGTAAATTAGAATATGTTCTGCGTTCTTCTGGGGCCAGGTGACGTCATACAAGCTCAACAGTAGTGCGGGCCCTGAGGTACTCTGCTGTAACTCTCTCTTGGGGGTTTCCCTTCTCCACAGGAGATGGAAGTGAGCAAGAAGGGGACACCCCTGACCTGGGAGCAGAGCCTCCCAGAATGTTATCCAGCGTGTCTGAAGACACCGTTCTCTGGAACCCAGAGCAGGATGAAAGCTGGAATGCCACACCCAGGAGCTCTAGAGGCGTGCTCCTCGGCCCACCTCTTCTTCAGGAAAATAGCTTCTCAAACCTGCTGTGTAGCTCTGAGATGGATACCCTGTTAAGACCCCACACGTGCCCCCAGTGTGGGAAACAGTTTGTATGGGGCTCCCACCTTGCCAGGCATCAGCAAACACACACAGGAGAGAGGCCCTACAGTTGCCTCAAGTGTGAGAAAAGTTTTGGACGAAGACATCACCTTATCAGGCACCAGAAAACCCACCTACATGACAAGCCCAGCAGGTGCTCGGAGTGTGGCAAGAATTTCCGATGCAACTCCCACTTGGCCAGCCACCAGAGAGTGCACGCAGAAGGCAGGTCCTACAAGGGTCAAGAGGTTGGCGAGAATGCTGGGGCTAGGGGAGGGCAGCATGTGGTGCCAGCACCCAAGTGCCACGTGTGCACTGAGTGTGGGAAGAGCTTTGGCCGAAGGCACCACCTGGTGCGACACTGGCTGACCCACACTGGGGAGAAACCCTTCCAGTGCCCTCGCTGTGAGAAGAGCTTTGGCCGCAAACATCACCTGGACAGGCATCTGCTGACCCACCAGGGACAGAGTCCCCGCAGCAGCTGGGACAGAGGGACATCTATCTTGTGAGATCCGTTTCTGCTATAGCTATGATGAAGTATACCAGCCGGTGCTACCAGTAGTCACTGCCAGAGCTGCCCCTCTCCTTGCACCCCAGGGGCCAGAATAGTGAGCCTGGTCCTGTCCCTGGAGCAGCACTCAGCAGTTCTGTGAGATGGTACATACCAGCAGTGCTCTCTGGGCACAGATTGAGAAGTGGTGTGCGTTACCTGGGCTGGTGTTCAGCCTAAGTGCACTTGCACGGGTATGACGTTAGCAGTCATAGCTGAGATCGGTCTAATTGGTTGGAGTCTATGCCGTGCCCATTGTTAAATATTTTAGTATCAACCTTGCAAACCAATTCTATTCTCTCTATATATGTGTATATAGAGAAAGACCACTTTAGCACATTAAAGGCTCGGAAAACTCCAGCAGTAAACATTTAGCTTCTCTTAATGCAATGTTTCCTAAATTCATTTGACCTCAGCATCCTAGTTTGTATCCCACAGAACTGGTGACTCCTTGAAACACTGGTGAACACTGAGTTACACAGAATTGGGAAGCAGTGGGCCAGGGAGATGGCTCAGTGGAATAAGTGCTTCCCTGGCAAGCGCAAGGGCCTGAGTTCTAATCCCCGGTTCCACTGGAAAAAAAAAAAAAAAAAAAGAATTGGGAAGCAGTATAGGGACGTGGTTGGGCACTGGGGGTCCCTTGTGCTATTCCTGCAAAAGCAGAGGGGTCAGATGGCACCAGCTGTGTGAGGGTCCACCATCGTGTCTTATCCATCTGTATCTATGCTTACCCCTCCCTGCTGGAAGACACAAACAATGATCTTTTCATCCCCATATCTACCCCTTCATCGTGGACGTACTTATATCCAGCAGAGGGGTTATGCTACAGTGCTAAAAGATGGATCTGAACCTCCAAGTAATTTAGCCCTCCACAGAAGAAAAAGCAACCACCTTGGACAGAGCCTGTCCTCGACTATGTTAGTGTTTGTGTATGTTTGTGTGCAGGGTGCTTGAGAGCATGCCAAGTGCAGGTTGTATACGCTAGGTTTTCTAGGGGCCATGTTCTGGGGATGAGGGTGTGGGGGGGTTATTCTGTTTCATGATGGGAAGAAGTCTAAGTGCTGAAGGGAGCCTGAGTGGAAAGGGTTCAGTGTTACATTAAATTGTGTATAAAGATTTCCCCAGTACTAGTGAGATCAAGGTGTTGTAGATTTATACGTCTTTATCTGAATCTCTGACTTCAAATTGTTTTTACCTGGGAAGAGAGAAAAAGAGAAGTTGTCAATGCAGTGAGCTGTTTCTTGTTGATTTCAGGCACAGTGCCTATATGTTAAGGTCTGTGGAGTGTTGTGTCGTCTCCGGTGCTGGAAACCTAGCAAGGGAATTGCAATGTTTGCACGTTGTCATCTCTTTGACTTTGACTCCTGTTTGACTTTGGTCACCTCATCAAGGGAGAAGTTTTTCTCAAAGATCTCATTCTCACAGAAACAACTTCAGGGGGAAACCTTAGATTTTTAGCAGAAACTTTCTGGTTGGTTTTCCTGCAAATCCTGAGAAAGTGATCACACCAAAAAACTTGTAACTCTTAGTGTCTACACTTGAGACTTGTAAGAATTCTCATGGATGTTCATGAATTGGTCATTGTTTCTCTGTGTTGATGATGGTGTTCATGCCAGTCTTACAATTTCAAACTTACTTTGTATGTATAAGCAGTTTGGGGCTAGAAAAGTGGAGCATGAGGGGGAGAGTGGGATATTTTCACTTAACGCTTAGATCCTGGTTTTTCTCTAAGATACTTATTTCTCAGCCATAGTTGGTAGAATTGGCCAGAGGCAAAAGGACCCAAGCTGCAACCTAGTGTAGTGATTGTTCCAGCTGCATAAGAAAAGCTGGGTGGATCTCAGCTCCTCAGGCTCCTTGGTTCAAATGAATTGAAAATGGCGTTATTTTGCTGACGGGCTTCTTAGGACTCAGTGACTTGAGCAGGCCTAGCCTCCTCCTATCATTAGAGCAGCTGTCCTTCTTTTCCCAGAATGTAATTCTCTTGTATATGTTTCTGCCAACAAAGCCACATGGCCAGCCCTTTGTAGGCAGGCCTTACTGGGTCCTCAGCGACAGAGATTTTAGGGTCAGTGTTAGTGCCCAAGAAAAACAGGAACACAGTGACTGTGGTGTTAAGCTGGGCTGCACCGCTTCCTTTACCCTCCACATCAATGCTGACATTTAATACAGATCAGCTCTATGTGAAGCTCCCTGTAGTGGACCCTGTTTCAGGTCACATACCTGTTTGAGTATCTAATGGGAATCAGAAACCTATGATTAAGTAAAATAGATATTTTCGGTTTAGTCAGTAACCTGAGGTTAGTGTGATTATGTTTTTGAATCAAGAATCACAAGGCAAGGGTTACTAAATAGTTTAAGGACTAATATCCAAGAGGCATCAGGGCATGAGGAGACAGTGTGGACTTCAGTGGCTAGAAGGGTGCTATTTACATTTTTTATGTTTTTAAGGAAGATCTGACATGCTGGCAAACCATGTAACATGCTTTGTTTTAGGAATATGTGGGGAGTGCTGATCTTATTGTCAGGTATTCTTACAGACTGTATGTTAACCTCCAACTTTTATCTGTTTTAGTAATTGTAGAGATGGAAAGTGAGCCTCCTGTCAGTGAGTTGTAGTGCCTGGCTGAAAGGCGTCATGGTGTCTGAGGGCCTTCAGCAGAAGGGGCAGTCCTTTGGGTCAGTTCTGGTGTACCATTGTCTTCTCTACCTCGGTCCAGCACCACATCCTTTGGGCAAAATGAAATAAAATAAAACAAAGTGTGCAACCACTCTCAGATGAGTGAATAGATCTGAATCAGCCTCAAACTTTTATCTTCCACCAAACTCTCATGCCATGTGGCCATTTCCTTTAAATTAAAAAATGCCTGTATTCTCTCTGGTCAGAGGTTGAAACGAAGAATTTCATCTTTAAGAACTTACCATGGTTTTCCATCTGTGGTGCTGCTACACTACTCTAGGTCATTATAAAAAGAATCCCTTGCTTTTCTACAGGATATTTATTTTTTAAATTTCTAAAATCTTTTATTTAGTTAGTTATTTGGTACAGGGTGTCTCTACACAGCTCAGACTCATACTGATCCTCCAGTCTAAGCCTCCCCAGTGCTGGGATTACAGCCATGTGCCACCACACCGTTATGGTGGCCAGCTGGGCACACCTGGGGCCAACACAGCATGCAATACCAGAGATCAAACCTGGATCCTTGTACTTGCCAGCCAGGCACTTAGACTGCTGAACTATCTCCCCAGCCCAATGTTTACATTTTAAACCTTAGCTTCAATTTTGGAGATACTTTTCTCCTGTTAAATGATACGCCATCAGGAGATCTATAGGTGATACTTCAGGACATGATATAGCCCTTTCCAACACTCCTGTGATGACCACTGTTCCCTCTTTCCGTCAAGTGCAAGAGGGGACTTGGCTCAGACCTGGGGAGGCTAGAGATGGCTCTTTCCATCACTGCTTAGTGGGTTCACTGAACGGGCTGAGCAGGGCTTAGCAGTACCAAAGTAACATCTGTTCCTATAGATCCCTTAGCCGGAGCTGGCAAAGTTTCCCGCTGTTCCCTGTGTGATGCCAGACCATGGTTCTCAAAATGTATTTTGGACCAGTAGTAAATTCTTAGACCCCACTTCATACCTGCTAATCAGCAAATGGAAGTAGAGCCCAACAGTGCCCTCCGGTACATGGTATAAGCTGAAGTTTTAGAACCACTGGTTGAGGAATTCAAGCTCCATCTCAAGCAGTGGTGCCTCCCCCTCTTCAAATGGATCCTAACAGCCCTGTTGTCATCTTCAGCCTAATAGGCTTTGGTCTGTTCCCCTTAGTTCCATAGTCTCTCCATCTTTAACTCAGGGCAAGAACTGCAGTCACTCACAAAGTCAGAAAGCAGATCACTGCTGAGCTCCAATGATTGCCTGGAGCAGAGACTTTGAGTATGTAAGCGGGGGATGCTTGGATCAGAGTCTGAAGCAACAGAAAGGAGGGGCCCACTCAACAGATAGTCCAACCTAAAATGGAAAACTGGCCTCCAAGAAAATGGTCTTTCTTTGCAAGTTTCCTAGTCTTTCCCCCAGGCCTGCCACTAAATTGCCTTGGAGGCAGAAGAGGTAGGTATTAAGCCTTGCTGTGCCCTCAAGGGCTGAGGCTTTCCAACCTCAAAGTTGAGTTGGTGACCACTAAGGGATAACTCCAGGGATTCCAAACCCTGATTTGTTGTACTCCACAGGCAAATACCAGGGCCATCATAGTCCCCTGGGCACACATAGGAAGTGGGCTGGTCTAGTAAGGTGGTACAAGCACAACTCACAGGCTGTTTCCTAGGCAGAGGTAACCTATTAAGCTGTAATGACAATAAATAAATAAGTAGAAGCATTCATGCTTCAGAACTTCTCTGCAATTCAGGCTGTACGACAGGGCCTGTTCTGCAGGCCTAGCCCTGCTAGCTGCTTCAGTTCCTCTCCTGCACACCCCTGTGCAGACACACCGAGCTGACAGTTGGAAGCCTACCCACAAGAGGCTAGACAGCTGCAGCTTCCTTTGAATCCAGGTTTCCTGTCACCACTTACAGTTTCCCAGTGGGTGGCATTCTTCCTCCAATCTTCCTTCTCATTTTTCTCTGTCTTTTTGGTTTGGTTTATGTGCTATTTTGCCTGAGCAGTGCCATGCCTTTCCAAGGGCATTGGTTCTTCCCAGCCCGCACCCATCTATAATCATAGAAGCTTCCTTCCAAGCTTCTGGCTCGTTCCAATCAATCATGAGTATACTCACTTCCTTTCCCTCTGCCCACTACCCATCTTTTCTGTCAGATTTAAGCCCACGGAGCAGGAGCCAACTCCTGATGCTTCTCACACCCTTCTCCAAAATTCCAGGCTATTGCAACTCTGCGGCCACTTCATTGTGTGTTCATTTCTCTCTCTCTCTCTCTCTCTCTCTCTCTCTCTCTCTCTCTCTCTCTCTCTCTCCCTCT